GTCCAAGAAATGCTAATAATAGGGGATTCAGACCTATTGATCCATCAGGTTCGAGGTGATTGGGCAACAAAAAATAGAAAGTTGTTACCATATTTGGAATGTGTGCATAGGCTATGTAAAAGGTTTGTCAAAACAGAATTTAGACATGTAAAGGGTCCAAAATGAATTCTCAGACGCCTTAGCCACTCTGTCTTCTATGATTCGACACCCTGATCAAAATTACATCGATCCTATTCACATTCACATGCTTGAACAACCAGCTTATTGTTTCCATGTTGAGGAAGATCCTGATGGAAAGCCCTGGTACGATGACATTAGAGGATATTTGAAGAGTGGTCAATACACAGAAGATGCAAGAAGTGTACAAAAGTGTATAATTCGAAGGTTAGCAACCCAATTCTTTTTAAGTGGGGAAATCCTCTATAGGAGAACTCCTGTTTGAGGCTGCTAAGATGCGTCGAAGCAAGAGAGGCTCGCAGGCTGGTCAAAGAGATACATGCACGCACCTGTGGCCCGCACATGAACGGTTTTACATTAGCAAAGAAGATTTTGAGATCAGGTTATTATTGACTAACTATAGAGACTGACTGCATTCGCTATGTACAGAAATGTCGTCAATGTCAGACTCACGCAGATATGATTCGAGTACCTCCCAACGAACTCCATGTCACTAAATCACCTTAGCCATTCGCAGCATGGGGCATGGATGTCATTGGTCGAATCGAGCCAATAACATCCAACGGACACAAATTCATTCTTGTCGCAATTGACTATTTCACCAAGTCGGTTGAGGCAACCTCCCATAAATCAGTGCCAAAGAAAGTTGTGGATGACTTTGTCAAAAATAACATTATTTTTAGGTTTGGAATTCCTGAGTCAATCATCACCGACAACGGCACCAACCTAAACAGTGACCTAATAAGATAAATGTGTGGGAAGTTTAAGATCAGTCATCAAAACTCTACAGCATACGGGCCACACATGTACGGGGCTGTTGAGGCAGCAAACAAAAACATCAAAAGGATATTGCGCAAGATGATTGATAATCACAAACACTGGCTGGAAAAGCTATCTTTCGCATTGCAGGGGTATCCTACCACAATCATAATTTCCACAGGGTCCACACCTTACTTCTTAGTATACGACACTAAAGATGTGATACCCACCGAAGTAGAGATACCTTCCCTAAGGATCATCGAAGAAGCAAAGTTGAGTGATGCTGACCGGATACAAGGTCGGGTAGAGAATTTGGCATTAATAGATGGAAGATGAATTAACCCCATTTGTCAAGGTCAACTTTATCATAATAGAATGGCCAGAGCTTTCAACAAGAAGGTTAAACCTAGTCATTTCTCACCTGGGCAACTGGTTTTGAAGCGGATTTTTCCAAATCAAGACGAGGCAAAGGGTAAATTTTCACCGAACTTGCAAGGTCCGTACATAGTCTCTCAAGTACTAACAGGCGGAGCCCTCATACTTGCAGAAATGGATGGAGAAGTTTGGCCAAAACCTATCAATTCATATTTTGTGAAAAAGTATTACATCTAGAGATTGATTCATGCTCTTTCGTAATTTAGAACTACGTCAGACCTGATATCTGCTTAAGAGGGGATACATAGGCGCTCTTATGGGGTTCAGTCTTATTAAAAATAAATCTTTCATTTTCCCCTTCTCTATTGATAACTCCGGAAGAATTTTTGAGAGGATCTCAAAAATTCCATCAAGATTTCTCCTGGCATATCTTCATACTGGGGCCAAATTTTTGAGTAAAGTCAAAAATTTCACCGAAAGTTTCTCCTCAACAAGCAGTCAACTTAGAACAAATATTAAATGATAGCTCCACTTTTGAGTCAGACGTTGTAAAGTCTCAACCAATGCCATAGTCAAAGATTCGACATCAGCTTTTTTTAAATGATGATTTCAAAATCTTTAAATGTTTTCCCCCCATTTTATAAGGAAAAAAAACACACACGCTCGAAGAGGTGTTGATGGCAAGGCAAAGGAGCACGTTGCGCCAAATCATGGATACAGATCAACCTCGCCCCTTTAAACTAACTATTTTTCTTTGAATGTAGAAAATACATGTACATATACAAAGGTAACTTCAACAATCAACATTACCACATTTGAGCCCTACAAATGACACTCGATCCTTCCAATAAGGCGGACGCCCAAGCTACTGTATGCCCTCAAGCAACTACTGTGCTGACAAATTACATTATGCCCGACATTGCATCATTTGCACCTACGCCTGATATCGCACTATGCTCAAATAACTACATTATTATATTATGCCCAAGCATGCCGAAACGCATCATTTAATGTGCTTGATATTGCATATGCCCGAAGAAATGCATTATTGCATGTGCTCGATATTTCATGTGCCCGAAGAAATACATCATCTCATATGCCCAATATTGACTTATGCTCGAAGAATTGCACTATTTCATGCGCTCAATATTTTCTGTGCCCGAAGAGATGCATCATTGCATGTGCCCGATATTGGATGTGCCCAAAGAAAAGCATCATTACATATGCTCGATATTGCATGTTCCCGATATTACATTGTGCCCGAAGAAGTGCATCATTGCATTGTGCTCGATATTTCATGTGCCCGAAGAAATGCATCATTGCATGTGCTCGATATTGCATGTTCCTAAAGAAATCATCATCGCATTGTGCCCAAGACTGCATTGTGCCTGAAGTTTGCATAAGCCCAAGATTGCATCGTGCTTGAAGTTTACATGTGCCCAAATCAAATCAAGTCATGAGTATCAATAGATGCCAAAAACAGATACGCCCTCGTTACTCATTAACTATATCCCAAAGGCGTCATCTTTCATGGCCTGCGGAGTTCATGTCATAGCATGAAGACTTATTTTATGCATATCATGTTCCTAAGGCGTCATAGTCTAAAGGCATCATCCTCATGGCCTGCGGACATCATATCATGGTCTAAGGATTTAATTTCTGTCTATCATGATCCGAAGGTGTCATAGTCTAAAGGCGTCATTTTCATGGCCTACAGACAACATTTTCATGACTTGAGGATACACCTTGCATATCATGGCCCTAGACATCATAGCCTAAGACGTCATTTTTTCACGGTCTTAAGAAAAACATTCATGGTCAACATGGGAATTGCATCATGTTTACATTTACCATTTATTTTGATGTGTATGTTTTAATTACTCTATTTAGGCTATATTACAAGTTACAGATGTGCAGAACACTGACAAAGTCGCCTTTTGAATGGTTGTTCACTTCATTACAAACAAAGGCTACGACAAATTCTTGTCTACTCGCACTATCGTTTTGCTACTCATCTATCATTGAGGATACCATGAAGATATATTCGGATTCAACTCGCAACTTTGACCTACTGTCTCTTCATCTAGGCTCGTCCGCCTTACAATGCGACATCTAGGATCGTCCTCCATACAATGTCACATCTAGGCTCGTCCGCCTTACAATGTGACATCTAGGATCGTCCGCCTTACAATGCAACGTCTAGGCTCGTCCGCCTTACAATAGGACATTTAGGCTCGTCCGCCTTAAAACGACATTTAGGTTTGTCCATCTTATAGGACATTTAGGCCGTCACCTTAAAGGGACATTAGGCTTGTCCGCCTCATAGGACATTTATTTTTTCCGCTTTATATGATATTTATGTCGTCCGCCTTAAAATGACACTTAGGCTCGTCTGCCTTAAAATGACGTTTAGACTCCCCTTACAACTAGATATTTTCGTCTATATTATTAGATCTTTATCGTATCAAATCTATTGAAGTTTGACGTTATTCATCAAAGATGGGTTTCAATCCTTCAAGAATTTAAATACTATCAAGGTTTGCACTACGTCTCAAACAGATATGCTTTTTATCACCTCTTGTCCATTTAGAAATCATATTTTATTATTATTGGTCATACTTTATCCATTTATAAGATGACATTTTATCTAGAATTTGCTGATATGATCGATCGCCCATGATTACAATTATCATGCTATCCTCTATTACAACAATGACCTTATCAATTCTTTGCTACTCATACTCTGAACCGTGCTCAAAGGTTGATTACCTTATTCTATCATGCTCTTCTCGCTTCTCTGTTATGCTCTTTTAGCCACTCTATCTCTCTTTTCTCGCTACTCTAATCTTATCCATTCAAGCCGATATCGTGCCTTTCAAATACCTTAGCGCTCTTTTAACTAATAAGAGTTTCATTTGTTCTTGAATCTAGAACTACATACGACCTGATTCTCATATAACCAGAGATATGTAGGCGACTTAAAACTAAAGTCTCGGTCGTACCCTTTTTCAACTCTATATCGTTTCAATTGACCCCACTGATATCTGTCGTCGGTCGGACAAAATCCGCTACTAAGTCAACGTCGGTTGCCTGACAATTCATTCTTCATTCTCAATCAACCAAGGGGCAGCTGTTGACACCCAATTTTGACCGACCTTTGACCATTATAGGAATACTATTCGATTAAATACGTATTTTCAATTTAAGAATTTTTTAGCTGGCTTTGCTTGAAAATTATATGTTTTAGTATGTTTTACTTTATAAAGTTATCGTAAATATTATTAAAATATTTTAAAATTATTAATGAATTTCAAATGTTAAAATTTAAATGGTTTTCAATTATATAAAAATATTTTAATATATGTAGTATTTTAATTAAAAAGTAATTCCTACACTTTCCCTTAATTTTAAATTCTAGCCTATTCTATCATAATTTCTTTCAATTCTAGCTACACCAATTAAATTTTTATTACAATCATAGCCTCTCTTTCCTTTTAATTCTAGCCATTTTAATTGCAATTGTAGCCAATCCATATGCAGTCCAATCTGATTTCGTTACATCTCATCTTTTAATCTCATCCATCTATTTTATTAATGGAATCCTAGCCCCTCATTTCAAATTAGATCAACAGTTATGATTAAATCTTTTATTTTCTCTACACCAAAAGACCCCAAAACCTAAAATTCTAACCCATTCTTCTCCCCCTCTCCTTGGCAGCCGCCAGCCCCCATTTTCTCCTTTCTCGCCGGCGATAATCGCCATCCTCAATCAGTGACACCCCTCTTCCCCTCTCCGTCTCTCAACCTCCTTATGCTCCCTCTTCTCCTCCCTCCTCCCTTCTCTTTCTCTTGTAGCAAGCAGCTCCACCGGCGAGCTGCCAGGTGACAAGCAACAGCCAGCAGCAAGGCGAGGCCACGACGAACAGCAGTTTCAACCGGCGAGCAGCAGCCCCGCTGCTCTTCTGTCTCTCTTCCTCTCCTCTCCCTTTCGCTTCCTTCCCCTTCCCGTCCTTCTCCCTCTCTAAGCCCCCTCTTCTTTTAATGTCTTTGCAGGATCATCAGCGACAACAACATCCAAGCGAGGCGACCAGTAGACACTGCTCCAGCCAGCAGCAGCAATGCCGGCGTGGACGAGCAGCAAGGATGGCTAAGCAGCAGCTGGACAGCAACCTGCAAAGACTACCGGCAGCTTTGTCCAGCGAAACCAGCAGCCTAGCGAGACAGTGCAGCAGCAGGCTCCACCGGCGACGACAACAACTCCGCTGAAGTCTTTTGGAAATGCGATTTTGTTAAAGACGGATCTCTCTAACAGATCCACACGGGTACGTATACTTGAACTCATTATCTCATCTTTCAGCAATTTTAATCTTCTTTTCATTTACAAGTTGTCTTTGAATGTTTGATATATAATTTTACACAAAAATCATCTTGGCCTCAGATTGCTGCTACTTTTGTTATTGATCTTAGTCATGTCCTCTTTGTCAACTTGTGTATTGATGTAATTCACCTTTGTTATTTGTCTCTATAAGAATAAGTACGTTCTTGATTTAGAATTATTTACCCCTGATTTTAAACTGATTATCTCCCTAACTAATATGATGCAAATATGCACCCACCTCTAGTCAATTAAGTGATGCTTGAATTTGTTCTTGATGTTGTAATATTGATTATATTCCTTAAATTGCTGAACTATGTGACAGATGCATTGAAATGATACTGTTGCCATGATATATAGATTGTCCCTATAAGGTAAAATTATAGGTTACCTGATCTTTCGAATATTGATTAAAATTATAAGCTTCTCCTTAAACAGTTTTTTTTCTTCTCCCAATAATTTGTAATTAATAGCTTAGCCTTATATAGTTGTAAATATATTTAGACATGTTAATTTTGGAATTTGACTCGTATTTGGCAGGAAGGATTTTATTAATTTTGCCCTTCATTATTTAAGGAAAAATAAATATTGCTCCATATTAATTTATTCTTACTTGTTTATATTTTGTAAAGAAATATTTTAAAATTTTTCTGATTTGGACCTCTTTTATAATAAGGAAAACAATATAGTTAATTGATTGCTTTAAATATTTCTTTTTCTTATTTGTTTCCCTCTCTTTGCTATATAAATATGTCCCCCTCCCTTCATTATTTCATAAACTCATACATTCATTCACTCTCAATCACAAGTTCTCTCATCACTCTTCCTTCTCTCATTGCTCTCTTGCTACTCTAACAATACATTAAGATTTCGGTAAACATTCAAGTGCTCTTCTTCGCTACTTTGCTATTTTGCTTTTGTTCGAGTAATGGTTGGATCAACTTGTTTTTCATTGCTACCATTCCTAATCTACTTAACTGGTTAGTATTCGGAATTAACATTTAAATTATTTTTGTATTCATACATCTATGTGAGCTCATTGTTCTATTCCTTTGTTATCTATAAGTTGTTAAACAATTGCAGGTTTCAAACTTGATATTCAAGTTGAAAATTAACCATGAAGAAAGATTTATTTGCTTATTTAAATCTATATTTTTTCTTTCTTATTTTATTTTATGCGAATGTTGTACATTTATAACTCTAAAGATCATATATATAAATTTTTTTGGGGGATCATCTAAGAGAGGGGGATTTACATGCCTACTTGTTCATTGTAAATTTTTTTTAATAAAAGTTAGAAATCATGCCTATAGGTTTGTCTTTAACCACCTAGAATTATTGTTTGTAGGTGTTATAATCTAACAAATTTTCCATTTGCTTGACGCTTTTGTTAATAAGTATTTAAAAAAATAATAACTAGATTCTATTAATTTTTGAATGTTAAAATCAAATCATGATAATTTAGTAGGCTGATTAGGTGTTTTAAAAATATTATAACTTTTAGCATTGTCTTGTCACGTAAAAACCATGCCTAAGGATTAATTTGTTCATATCATTTAGATTCACAAAATTATGCATATATGTGTTACTTTTTTTTTAACACCTAGAAATTCATGTCTATAGGCTTGTAAATAACTTTTAACATATCCATAAAAAATAAAATATGTTTGTGCATATTTGTGCCCTCCACCCAAAATTAGTTAATATTATTTAATTAGTAATCCTATTTGTCTTCTTGAAGATTTCCGCATTCATGATGCAATATTTTTTTTAAAAAAAATAATAATGATACTAAATTAGAATCATTTCATGCATTTAACAAATTACTTGGCTTTTAAAAATATTTCATAGTAAAACCTTTTCATTAAATAAATTTACCACTGTATTATTCTACTAGTTTTTTTTCTTACTTACAAAGTTTTGCAACATAATTTTCATAAAAGTCATTATTCAATCTTCCTTTAAAATTTTTGATTGATTATGACACTGTTTATTTTTGAAATAAATTCTAAGCACTATCTCCTAACCTATCGTTAGCGGGAAAGTCAAAGGAACTATGAGGTCTAGTTTCAATTTTTAAATTAAACCGACGCATCCTCAGAAATATAACCTACCCATGAATTTCAAAAGGAATTATGTGTATTCATGTGTAAATATTATGTGCCTACATGTAAACTAAATCTTTTAAATAATTTCCAAAATCATAAACTATTTTTAGACCGACCTCAAAATCAAAATTGTTTCTATGGTGGAGGAGCGTGATCAAAAATATCGTCGCATCATCCCTATAAAGAAACAAACATTTTTTTAGAATAAAAAAATTCATATTCAAAACTTGCTCAATTTTCAAAACTTTACTTTCTCACATATTAATTGCGTAATATTTACAAATTTTGTTTATAACATAGTCTCATATGCTTAAATAAAAATAAAACTTGATTTTTTATTTATTGCTATCACCTTGCCTTGCATGCTCAAATTAATGGAAAAAATAAAATAGTATTAATTGTTTTATATCACTTAGCAAGATTAAATAAATTAATAAATGAAGTGACTTTGATTGCTTATTGTAACCCCTACATAGATTGCATGAGATACGGCTGGGACCCACACTTGTGGACCTCGACTGGTTCCTAATACCTTCCCCTCAAGGTAATTTGAACCCTTTCCCTAATCTCTTGGTCGTTGAACTTAGTTAGACTTAGTTAGGTTAGGTAGGTGCCATAACGCGCCTTAATTTGTTAGGTTGCAACTACAAACTCGAAATCCCAAAAGAGTTGTTAGGTCGTGCACAAAACCCGTTTTCTGCGAAAATGGGGCGCGAAATAAACAAAGTAATTATGTCAACTCACCACCTTCCTATAGCCATTACAATCATTCGTTAGTCTTTATTATACAAATTCACATAATAGAGATATTACCTATAACAATATACATAAGACTAAGCCAGTAATTAAACTAAATGAATGTTCCATCAACACTCAATATAGATATAAACATTATAAGGCAGCCATTAACAATTCTAACCTCAATCAACACATAATTAAATATCTCATACCAATCTACACAAGAAATAAATAAGATTAAACCATAATTGATTCACCGACTTGAAAGACAATATCAGAATTCATGTAATAATGGATTCATAGAGTTTTTGATATTAAAACATTCAATTAACATCAATTATATCATAAAACATTGATTGAAATCCTTTCATGCAAGAACCTATGGCGGGAATTCAAACTAGGAATTTGTATGGTTTTCACAACCTCTGAAAAGCCTTTGAAATTAAATCCCTGAATGGAAGAATAGTCAAAGATGAAACACCATATATTATTTGTATAAAGACAACGGAATTGTTTTGAAAAACTTGGAGAATTTTTACTTCTTCCTTTGAGCATCAATACTTATTAAAGGAGGTTATGGAGAGAGGGGTTGGAGATCTTTTGTTTTTGCTTGATTGGTGACTTTTTGGGTTTTAAAAAGACTCAATAACCATCAATAAATAATCACCAAACTAACAAAAAGACCTCTGAATGTATTTGACCATTTTTCGCAATTCTGATATTTACTAAAAACGACACCATCAAATCTAAGAATCATTGCACGTTACGGGGTAACCCTCAATTCTTACTTATATAAAATTTTGTGATTGATTCAATTGTCTTGATTGTGGGTTATATCACTAATGCATGATATTTCTACACCAATCATTAGGAAATTAGAATTAATTATTTTCTTTTATCCTAATCTTGTGTTGTGATCAAGGTTATGTAAATTGGCCTAAGTAATCATGTTTTAAACATTGATTAGTACTAAATAGTTGTGTAGTGACTCTTCTAATATTGTTATCATGTTTATTATTGAATTATGTTAAGGTTATGGGGATTTTCTTCGTCATTCCACTTGTTGACTTGATAGGGATTTATAAATAATAGTCTTTGGTTATGATGAAGTGTAATAATATCCAGGCTTGTGGTTATTTATGACATGATTATAGAGTCACTTGACTATGTATTTAGTTGCATGATATGCATGTTTACTTGACTAGTGTTTATGTTGTTTGTTTACTGATGTACATGTCTATGACTTAATGAATATTTCTTCATTTATTTGTCATAGTCTTGTTGAATGTGCATAAAGGTTTTCAAAGTAAAGTACACATTAAAACCAATTTACATCAATATCAACCTAGGGTTAAAGGATAAGGATCATAATACTCAATTGAAATAAACTATCACAATTGATCATAATCAATTCAAAATACGTGTTAATCTATCCATTATATCCTCAAGTAACCATAAACAATTCAGTTCACAACATCGATTTCAATTTTTAAAGAAACCCACATGAAAACTCAATTTTTGAAACCCTTCAAGGAAAGAATCTCAAAGGTTAATGAGATATCATACCTTGTAAATTTATGAAGAATTAATGCAGATTTTGTCCCTTGCAGCCCCTAAAACCTCCCCCTAGCTTGTCTTCAATGGTTGCTTCCAAATATAGAGAGAAAGAAGAGAGCTTATGTTGTGAGTTGTGTTTAGATTAATGATGGTTAGGGTATTTATATGGGGGGTTAAATTATTTAATTAATCATCCATTAACACGTAAAGAAACCCTAAATACCCTTTTTATTTTAATTTGGCTTAACTTAAATTGTGCAGAAAATGGACACTCATAGACGGAACCCCATCGATGGTCCGTCTGTGAGCCGACAGGCACTGTGCCTTTCGTGTTCCACAACCATTGTTGAGTTTAGAGAATTTTCATATGAAGGAATCAAACTTTTTTTCTAAGTGTGGAACGATTGTGGGCATTGACACCCTTTCGATCCACGCAAGAGTCGTTAATGGCTTCTCATGCTTACATACTTCCTAGGCACTGTTGCCTCTTACGTGCTAGGGTTCTCCTCAAGGACCCTTGATTGGTACTTGGAGATTCGTACCCAGAAGTTTCTACCAGGATTAATCTTTAATACATCTTTTACACCATTGCACCTAATTTCATGCATTTCTTACTCCTAAAAGCTAATCAAATAGGCTTAGGCACGCTAGTGCCCATTAGCACTAGTTTCCGAACGTCATTGACGTTCATGGATGTTTTGGTTCTTAAATTTCCTAAATGACCTATATTTAATAATATAGGTCTTAAAAAAAGTTATGATACCATATGACACATATGTTAGTCTCTAAGACTCGTCTTGGATTTTCAAAGTGTTACATGGGATTAGAACAAAACTTGTACTTAGTATGAGAGCATATTCACAAATATCATGAAAACATGTTAAAAGGGATATTTCATATTAGAAAGATAGGGTGGTATGATGTTGAACTGAAATGCTTAACTATGTTGTTAGGTTTATTAAAGTGTACGTGATATAAGGCTGGTGGCAACTTACAATGTTCCTTCATATGCTATGAAATGCTAATGTGTTGACCTAAGTTATATGTATTGTGATGAAAGGACTATAATAATGAAATTCTTATTGAGATATTTGTGATGATTAATATACAAGGGATAGACCCTATGAAGTAAACTAAGCTACGATTGATAATTAAAGGCTTAAAAACATTTTAATAAAGGAACTTTGCTTAGAACCGAGTGAACGTGAAAATTGGAGGTGATGACTTCCCAAAGACGAAGATTATCCCTAATGTACTATATGAGATGCTGACTTACCAAAGAGGAATACTCATTCAATGGATTCACATTGGAGGATGACACAACTACCAAGTGGTATCAAGAAGGAACATATTATCATTTAGTTCTTGAACAATTTTTCCCCAAAACAAAGACTAGCTAGCGGATCCACCTATAAATTTATGTGTATGTTTGGTTTTACTTTGGCCGGTAAAGGTTTAACTTAGCCAAGGTAGGGGTATGGAACTCAACTTATGCCTTGCACTAGTTTACCTTGATGGAAGCATTAGAAAGGTTATATTATATATATATATATATGATAATGATGAATATGGTTATAACATGTTGATGCTACGATATAAATTCTATTATATAGTGATGACTATCTTCCTGAACATTTAATTATGTTGTACTATTAAACTATAATGTTAGGTATCCTTAAAGGTTATGTTATGTGAAGTTGCACATTGTTTATGGTTTCTTTTTTAGGATACTTGATTGAGTAAGGTTATAGGGCTTTGCTTGGTCATTGCACTGGTTTACTTGATGAGTATTCATGAGTAGTTGTATTAATTATTATGATATGATTAACTCTTGTTCATACTTGTGATCTCATTCCTTGATTATGGGTTTGTACTAAATCGTGGACGTGACACAATCATGGTATGTGCAATTGAGAGATAATAGGTAATTGAGGGGTAGTCCATTGACTTGGGAGATCTTTAAGAAGCCTTTCTAAATTGATTCTTTCCTAGTGACATAAGGGAGGAAAAAGTGGTGGAGTTCATCAAACTTCGCCAAGGAGGAAGGCGTGTTCATGAATACTCCTTGAAATTCATTAAATTGTTCAAATAGGCCAATTTTTTGGTTTCCGATCCTAGATACCAAATGAGCCACTTTGTGACGGGGTGCCGGAGGACATACAAGAGGAGTGCCACTCTACCAAGATACATCAATAAATGAACATTTCCCATCTAATGTTGCATGAAAGAAGGGTGAGAAGGCAAGGGATAAGAGAAAGAGTACATAAGCTAAGAGAGGAAGATCATTTAATGAAGGTTCTTCAAAGAATAGGTTTGAAACATAAGTTAAGACTAGATTTAAAAAGCAGGTTTGTAATCAAGTTCTATAAAAATTCCCTAAGGGTCGTGATGACTAGGGAAATAAATCGTGAGTTTAAAGGGAAGGAGTGAAAACTCACAAAATGGGAACCCTACATGTGCCAAGTGTGTGAAAGGTGATCTTGATGAATGCTTGGTAGGAAATGGAAATTACTTTAGTTGTTCAAGAGTTGTCACAAGGTGAGAGATTGTTCAAACTTGAAGAATCAAGAGAGCGGTAGTAAAGCTAAAGATAGTTGTTCTAGTGATGCTCCTAAAAAGAATCACTTTTATGCTCTCCGCTCTAAAAGTGAGCAACAAACTTCTCCCAATGGGGTGAACGGTATGTTGAATATTTTCTCCATTGATGAATATGACTTACTTAATCCCGGTGCTACTTTATCATTTGTTACCCCTTTTGTACCTAAAATGTTTGATATTTTACCAGATATTTTGCATGAACCTTTTATAGTGTCTACTTTTGTGGGTGAGTCGGTTGTCGCAAAAAGGGTGTATAGAAATTTTCCAATAATATTTCCCAATAGAGTTTCTTATGTTGATCTAGTAGAACTAGATATACTTTATTTTGATGTTAGATTAGGTATGGATTTGTTTTATGTTTTCTTTGCTTCTATTGTTTATAAGACAAGTGTTGTAAAATTTAACTTTAGAATGAACCCGTTGTAGAGTGGAAGAGGGGAAACTCTATTCCTAGAGGTTGTATCATATCTTGTCTAAAAGAATGCAAAATAATCTATAAAGGTTGTCTATACCATATTGTAAGAGTCCAAAATCTAGACTCTGAAATCTTCTCATTTAGTCGGTCCCTGTAGTGAGTTAATTTCTGAAGGTGTTTCCTAATGACCTTCCCGGTATTCCTCCTGAATGGTAAATTGATTTTGGTATTGATTTGATACCGGATAGAAATCCCATTTCGATTCCTCCTTATTGGATGGCTCTAACCAAATTGAAAGAGTTGATGTCTCAACTAGAAGATTTACTAGACAAGGGCATCATAAGACCAAGTATTTCTCCATGGCGTATCTGGTTTTGTTTGTGAATAAGAAGGATGGGTTCTTAAGAATGTGTATTAATTACCGCCAACTCAATAAGGTCACAATGAAGAAAAATTATCCTCTCCATTGAATTGCCGACTAGCATGATCAACTCCAAGGGGAAAACTACTTTTCTAAGATTGACTTGAGTTCAGGGTATCACTAACATAGGGTGAGAAGGGACTATGTAAGAACGATGGCCTTTTGGACTAGGTATGGGCATATGAGTTCTTGCTAATGTATTTTCGTCTCACTAATGCTCCGACGGCATTTATGGGCCTAATGGATGGAGTGTCTCTAAATTACCTATATTCATTTGTAATTGTCTTCATTCATGATATCTTGGTATATTCAAAAAATTAGGGTGATAAGATAGATCATTTGAGGGTGGTATTGCAAACCCTTAAGGAATATCAATTGTTTGCCAAATATAACAAGTGTGAGTTTTGTTTGAGTAAAAACCGAAAAACTAATGTCGGGTTTCTTACTACAATAGATCAAAATTCCTGCTTGGAAGGGGGAAGACATTAATATGGATTTTGTAATGGGACAAAAAGGTCATATGATTCTATATGGGTGGTTGTGGATATGTTTGACTAAGTCTTCTTGCTTTATTCCCGTCAAGTCTACTTATTCGGCAGAATATTATGTTAGGATCTTCACAAATGATATTGTGTGTCGCCATGGTACTCCGTTATCCATCATATTGGATATGGTTGTACAATTCAGATCAAGGTTTTGGAGATCATTTAAAAAAGGGTTGAGTACTAAAATGTAGTTGAGTACCTCATTTCATCCCTAAATAGATGGTCAAACGGAACACATTATTCAAACAGTCGAGGATATTCTTAAGGCTTGCATTATTGAAAAAGCAAATTGGGATAAACATTTGCCGTTGGTTGAGTTTCCTTATAATAATAGTTTTCATTCATCCATAGGAGGTGTAGTTCTCTTATAGGATGGTTTGAAGTTTGAGAGACTTCTCTTCTTTGTCTCATTTTGATTTATAAAACTTTCGAAAAGGTTCATATCATAAGGAACCGGTTGCAAATGGCCTATTGTGAACATAAGTCTTATGCCGATCATAGGAGAAGGGATTTGGAGTTTCAAGAAGGTGTGAGGTGTATTTGAAAATTTCACCAATGATAGGGGTGGTTAGATTCGGCAAGAAAGGGAAGTTAAGTCCTCATTATGTGGGTCCCTACAAAATCTTGCAAAAGGTTGGTAAGGTTGACCATGAATTGAAACTTCCTAGTGAATTCGCTTCGGTTCATCCGCTTTTCGGTGTTTCTATGCTGAAGAAGTGTATCGGTGATCCAGATTCTATTCACCCTATTGAAGGTCTTGGTGTCAAGGATAACCTCTCTTATGAGAAAGTTCTGGTTCAACTTCTTCATAGGAATGTCAAGAAGTTACAGAATAAAGAGGTGGCTTCCATTAAAGAGTTAAAGTGTTAAGGAATAAATGGCATGTGTTTACTAAATGTCCCTTTTTAGCATATTTTGCTCTTATATGTGCATATGGTCTCATAGTTAGTACATTTGTAGTACTAACCTCATTTTCTTCCTTTTTACCAAACATTTTAGGTTCCGGTCGTTGAAGGCTCATTCAAGACGACTTGAAAAAGTCTTGGATATTCTCTATTATCCAAGTGTATAGGTCCTCACATTCCGAGGGCGATTTTAATATCTTGCCTATGAAGTTCTTTTGTTTTTCTTTGACTTTTATTTTCATTCAACTTTAATTTGGTACGACATGTATAAGTCTATATATGGATTCTTTACATTTGATGTAGGGGAAAGCCCAAATTATGATGATCGTTTAGATGGTATGAGATGAGACTATCTTTTTATGTTTTATATATGTATGTGCAATAAAAGTAGAAGGTTGTGTAACTTTTCTATTCGAAGGGTCTACGTATACTCGATACATATATATTATGTGTGTGTAGAGGTCTATGTAAACCTCCAAGTACATGTAATGAATGTTTTATGTTTTTCCACATATCCAACAAATGAATGTAATTACATGAGACTAAAGGGCTCGTCTTAGTCCTCAAGGAGGAAGACGCTGCTGGCTACGTCTAGGAGGTAAACCCGGACGTGACACCCCATTTCTTCCTTTTCCCCAACATTTTAGTTCAGGTCGTTGAAGGGCTTCTGGCGACGACATTGATGAAGACTTGGATTTCATAATCACCTAAGTAGGGTAGGTCCTCACTTTTCGAGGGAGATGCCACTATCAACCCTATGATGTTTCTTTATTATTAAGACTATTATGTTTCTTTTCTTTTCATTTGGATATTGAATGTTGTGTGACCTATATGTTGTCCTGTGTTATTGATGTAAGGGCTAGGTGAAATTTGATATACTTTTATTAGATTGTAATGAGATGAGACGACTATTTTGAGACTATATTATATTCTATATACTTATCTGCAATGAAAGTAGAAGTGTAAGTAATCTTCATATACGAAGGGTCTATGTATACTCGATATATAAATATTATTATGCGTATGTAGAGGCCTATGTAAATCTCTGAGTAGATATACTGAAAAGTTTTAAATTTTCCACTAAATTTAACCTATAAATGTAATGATGTAAGCTCAGAGGGTACTCATAGTCCTCACAGAGCACGACGACGCCAGTTACGTCTAGGGGGTATTCCTGAATGTTAAACTATATACGGTTCTATCATAATTCATACGTATTTGAATACCACAACCTAATCGATATAAAAATCCAATACTGTTAAGCCATAATTGAATCACCCATAATAGAGCCAAAATTATGAAATCATTAAGTGCATAGGTTCATTGAAATTTTATCTAAAAACACTCACTTAACATCAATTTAATCATTAATCATTGTTTCAAATAATTATATGCAAGAACCCATGGCTAGAGTTCAATTTAGGAAAATCTATGTTTTTAAAGACTTTAAAAGAGCCTTATGAACATGAATCCGTGAGGACAGAAGATTCAAATATTAAACACCATACCTTGATTGAAGATAATCCACGAAAATTATGAATATTCAATGGATAAATCAACCTCGTAGCGTCAACCTTCCTACTATCTTTAATGGAGTTCTAGAGGATTCTATATGGGGTCTTGGTGTTTTGTTTTTGAATAATGAACTCAACTATATATTCTAGACTTATAAAATGAATAAAAATACCAAAATAAACCTTATTTAATATCCAAATATATTATTTGTATTCTACGTGAATTTCCCACATTGCCCATCACTTTGCCTAGAATCTGCTAGAATTGCAAGCCCAAAATGACGCCTGCAAACGATTACTCGTCAATGGAATGACATCTCAGTCATGTAGGTCCGTTGATTGTGACATAGAAAATATTTTTTGGGTGATTTAATCCCATATCTAAGTGTGGAGAAACGTCCTTTATCGACAAGGCGTAGCTACAAATACGGTCTATCGTTTACACAGCATAAGTCGTAAATTATTTTGGCAATTTTTGGTCAAAGTTTGGGTCCTCTTCAAGGACAGTAATGTAGGTCCTGTGCATAATGTTTCAACTCTAAATAAACTCTACTAGATGTTAGGAACCTCTCCCATCAATTAGAACTCAAACCAACAAGTAAATGAACATACAAGAAAGTCTAGAGGCTAAATTTCGAACGTCTTGGACGTTTCACTACCAAACAAAATACACTGCCTTCTAACACAAAATTTTAACGATTTTAAGACCTTACTAACTAAGGAACCGTATGTAAGATTCTAGTTTTACCTTGTTCATTTAGGGATGTTACATTCTCCCCCACTTGGAGAACATTCGTCCACGAATGAAACTTGCTACACTCAAAACTCTTTCACGGTACATAAAAAAGACAAGAAATTCATATCCATGCCACATAATATACAGTACACATATATAGTAAGAACATCAACTCAACTAAATCAAGAGAGTCGAAACACAACAAGAATTAGGCACATCTTCTATAACTCATCATGAAATATGACTCTATACATCATATAAGAGGAACTTCCTTCTTCATACATTATGATGCTCATACACGTTATTTTTAATAACTTTAGAATAATTTCTCACGAAATCACAATTAAGACAAAATTTCAAATTCTTTACAGCGAAGCATGCTTACTAATACACTAATGCAAATTTTAAGAAATCTTCCACGAGGGCATGACAATATAAGATACAAGATCCTATACTTACAACATAAAGATAACCTAATGAATGCACATTGAGTGGAGATCAGTAAAATTCATTTAAATCTACTTTGATAAACAAAAATCAACATGGTACCATAAACTTCTAACTCTCATGCTTGAATAGAATAGAAGAGAAGAGACAACAGTCTAAAACACAACTACTCACCATAATCCCCTACTTAGAAGGAACCCATAACAACAAAAGAGTAAAAGCTGTAACTTACCAGCATTTTCGCCCTAATTTGCCTCATATTGGAGAATATCAAAGTTATTCTTCTTTAGAGCATCACCATCTGGAGAACTTGGAGGAATTTTCGTGGCCTCTCTTCTTCTAGCTGCAATAGTAGGAACCAGTCACCTTATGACCATCCTCATACAACAACCGAATCAACAACCGGTACCATCTAGACACTTCCCAAAGTGCTTTTTCCCCCATGTAGGCATAACAACTTGGGAACCACTACCACTCTCAAACTTGATCTTAGGAGCACTAGACCTTCTTGATTTTGATTTCTCTTCTTGAACCTAGGTTGATTTTTCTCAATGGTCCTACCCCTATTTAAATTCCTTAAAATCCTACTAAAATTGCACTCTTTAATGGATAGTTCATACAAAATAATCCTTGATAAGTTCATATCATTATGGAGCATGGTAGTGCGACATTCTTCTTTCACAAGGTCTGCAACACCGGTTGGAAACCTACTCATTTCATCCATATTGTTAGACACCAAGGACGGAGCATACATAAACAACAAGGTAAACATCATTGAATACCCTTCAACATTCATATCACATTTTTTTAGGTTTATAAACTCTTCAAAAATCACCTCTCTCATCTCTAAGGGAAATAACTTTCTTGTGAAAGCTTCCTTAAAATAATCCCACTCAATGGGATCCGACTCGGACAATCTATTATATATCAATTGTGTGGACCACACTTGAGAAAATTTCCTCAATTGCTAATACGCCAACTCTGCATTTGTTCTAGAAGTCACCCCCATGGCACTCAACAACTTATAAATACCATCTAGAAATTCTTCAGGATCCTCTAAAACCTTAGAAACAGGAAGATAGGATGATTCACTCTGACAAAGTCTCTCAATCTAGAGGTTATAGTACTCTTAGGAGAATTCACCCTAGGCGCAATACCTCTATTTTGTTTAGTCATCCTGGTTCGTGTTATGGTAATGATAGCCTCTCTAATATCCCTATTAGTCATGTCAAGGGGAACCACTAAAACATCATCTCCTTGACCAACTATAGGGACCTCATTACCTTGATGAACTTGAACACTTTGTGGACTTTGTCCAACTCGGGCAGGAACTCCCTCATTTACCAATTCCTCATCAACTCTCCTTGCGGGTGTCCTCATATTCATACCATATCAAGAGAAGATAATAGATTAGGAAAATACACTTATAACCTCAATTCTATGGCACAACATATGAGTAATGAAGAAAGTTAAACTATATCTTCATATATCCTCTCTCTTAGATGTGTCGTGACTCATAGCGATGAACAATATCTACTAGACATGGCCTTAATAAGACTGTACGATTCCTAAATATGAATTGATAATCTTATGCCCTTATACCGAGCTTTTCATGACCTGAGAGTATACCCTAGAAAAAATAGTATTTTAATGTTGTCCCATGATGTATTCGACCTCTTATAGGTATTATACAAGAACTTAGAAATCATTCATCGCATATATATATATATATATATATATATATGTATATACACACACACACACACACACACACACATATATATATATATATATATATATAAATATGAAAACCAATGCATCCTAAAAAAATTTCAAAAGAAGTTTAAATCTCTTTTTTTAGAAAACATAGTAAATGCCAAGTCTCTTAGCCATCTCAAAAACATTAATATCTTTGGTCACAACATATTCATCAATGAAAGGAAATACAAAATTCAATTAAAAAATCTTTTTTTTAAAAAAAACATAATCATGTCCTCGAATAATGTCAAGTAAAACAAAGAAGTGCTTAGGAGAATGTTATTCAAGTAAAATTGCACATATAAAGCAAATTCCAAGTAATCCACAATATAGCTTTACATTATATCAAAAAGTATTAGAATATAACCCTCCTAACAAAGGTTATGCTAAGACTTGCATAAGTAAGGAAAGAGGAGATCGTCCATACACCCTCTTCAATCTCATCTAAATTATTCTTAAAACTATCTAAGCTAAGATTATTTACTTTTCGTCACATAGACTCTCTACCCAAGGTTACTCCAAGACCTGCTTGAGTAAGAAATGAAGAGATCGCCCATGCACCCTATTGAAGCATTCCTAAGGAATTCTCAAATCAACACTATATAGGGATCATTTTATTCAAAATACTCTAACTGAAGTCATAATCATTCATTAAGTCAATTGTGATTCAATTAATCATTTAGTGTATTTCACATAATGATCTTGGAGAAGACATAGGGAAACCACATCCTAGAATCTTCAAAGCCTACTCGTACAATGCCTAGATAGAGTCCCATTCCACTACCTAAACATTGTAAAGCATCTCAAATACTAGAATGCATCACACATAATTATAATATGCATTAACCAACAAACACCACACTACCTATACGTTTAATTCGGAGTCTAACCTGCTGCGATGGAGGGTTTTCT